AATCACTAGAAAGGAAGGAGCATTAATAACTTGCCTCACAGGGTTGCTATGAGAATGAATGTAATTAAAAGTTCAAAGAACTTAGCGTACTTTATCTGTGCTACAGACATGATCAATAACATTGTTTCCTAAATAAGTAAAGGAGTTATGTGCTCAGTCCTAACAAAACTGCTGGGAGGATTGAAATAAAGCAGAGGGGGTTTTTCGCCCCAGAGTTCAGACATAGCATACAGATGTGTAAACTTTTATTGCACTGCAGTTTTCCCCATTCCTATGAGGTGGCATTCTTTTCTTCCACCTGTCATCACACAGAGAATGCAATATATTGAAAAAGATGTCCCCAAGTTAGCTTAAGTGCAAATAAGGCTTGGCAACCCCAGGTCATAGGATGGAATTGGGGAAAATACACATGTTAAATACCGTATTTTTTGCTCTATAAGACTCACTTTTTCCTTTCTAAAAAGTAAGGGGAAATGTGTGTGCGTCTTATGGAGCGAATGCAGGCTGCGCAGCTATCCCAGAAGCCAGAACAGCAAGAGGGATTGCTGCTTTCACTGCGCAGTGATCCCTCTTGCTGTTCTGGCTTCTGAGATTCAGAATAATTTTTTTTCTTGTTTTCCTCCTCCAAAAACTAGGTGCGTCTTGTGGTCTGGTGCGTCTTATAGAGCGAAAAATACGGTATTTTAGATGTCCCCCTAAAAATCTAAAGCGTACACCGGAAACCAAAATGTGAATGGAACAAACATCAGTTTTCACAGAAGTACAGTCATCAGAGAGTCACGATTGGCTGAAGTTACCTATTTAAGTGTACCCCTGGCCTGGTGTCATATCCGGGTTTGCCCTAGAATAGTGTGTGAAATGGCTCTAGTGGATACAGGTGAATTGAGTTTCAAGGTGTGTGGGGGGGACACTGGAATGTAATTAGAAGATCGGGCCTCTGAAACTGTGGTCAAGCATTCAGTTCAGGTTGAAAGGTTAAGTAGAGAGCTTGGAGTAGGCTAGCCCACAGTTTAGAGATAAGGGTAGCCAACATAGTGTCCTCAAGTTGTTTCAAACTACAGATCCCATTTGCCACAGCAAGCATGGCCAATGGTAGAAGTTGGCTATGCCTGATTCAGAGGCTGTTATTAATGCATATGGAGATTTTTAGATACAAACAAATATAAATAATACTGAAGACATAAAAATATATAAATAATATTGCTGCATTCCTTTGTTTTCTGTGTTGTTCTCCCTGTGTTGTACACCTCCTGTATTTTTTAATAAAATCCTGATTTGTAGGTTTTTGGTTTTTTTGTTTTGCAGTAAAAGTCAATTGTATAACCAGCTCAATGTGGACTGGCAAACAGCTATTCAGACTTTAAGGGCTACTGTTACCATTAAATGTTTCCTGTTTGCAGGTTCTGCCCATTTTATTGCTTTCTGTTATGTACTGGCTGGGGAATTAGTGATAAATTCCCCTTTAATTATTTAGCTTCTGTTTGCTACAAGGAAACTAGTTTCCTGGCATTGCCTTCCTTCCTTCTTTTATAGCAAAACAGTGCTATTGCACTGCATAAGAAAGAAAAGGGAAAATGCAAGGAAATCAGTAATTAAAGCCTCTTGTGGAGAACAGAAGCTGAATAAATAAGGCGCAATTCACCACTCTTCAGCCATATTGAACAGGAAGCAATAAAATGAAGGGACCTGCAAACAGTAAACTTTTAATTAATATTGCGGGGACCTCTGTTGAACAGAACTTGCTTGTAAGTAGGCATTATGTACAGCATGAAGAGCCAACTGGTAATCCAAGGCTCAAATCCAGATCCTACCCACAAACCCAAAACTGTTTTGCATATTAAGAAGGCAGTTCATGTGCAGGATTAAGCAACTATGGTCCAGACTCCACTACTATTGCTGCCACAATTACGGAGATACCTGCTTAAGAGGATCAGTTAGTTTTAAATACGACCTCCTTTCACCTTTTGTCAATAGAGAGCAATGGCAGCTCACAGAAATAATCTTATACTGGATGGACTCATTTTTCACCAGTACACCTGGAATGGAAGACTCTCCTGGTGAAGTAGTTTTGCTGGTGGAAGAGGGCCAAAGCAGGATGAATGGCTATTGGCCAGTCTTAAGAAAAGCTGTATTTTTAGGCATTCAGTTCACACTCGGCATACTCATATGTTATTGCCATACAATGGGAACTGCTGGGTGCTCAGCACTGCCAAATGTAGAGCTCCCATTTTGGGTGCTAAGCCTTTGGGTTTTTTTTTTTAAAAAAAACAACAACCAAGTTTGCTATCATTTGAAAATCTAGCCACATAAACTCAAAGACAAAAACCTTAACAAAACAAAACAAAACAAAACAAAACAAAACAAAACAAAACACCCTGCCTTAGAGAAATGAAAAGAACCCCATTAGTGTTTTTGGTAGAATTCTCAGTTGTATCTTTTCAAGTTATTTTGGTACTTGAATCAGCATGATTCAGTCCATTTACTTACAAAAGCCTTGTAAATTGTTGGCGATTCACACCTCCAAGGCATCTTTCTGACGCTACTGGAAAGACATGTCATCAGTTTGTGTCTCCTGTTTCTTTTAACTCCTATCCCATTCAAGACAAGTCTCACTTTTATTTATCTCCAAACTAATATGGCTGAGCTCATGCAATTATCAGTGACTGTCCCTGAACGCAGCATGCTACAGAGGCAGGGTCTGCAACAAAAGTGATGAGATGGGCAGAGATTTCTTTTGCTTCATACTTGCCAGCCACCCTTATCCATTCAATTAATTCAAGTCATGCCCCCCCCTCCCCAAAATCAATTGACACTGAGAGACAGAAGCACCATTATGAAACCACAGAAACAATTTCCCCAGCGGGATCTCCTTTTTGTGACAATTCCTTGGGCAGACATTCAATTCACACACACACATGCACAAGAGATCTATTGCAAGGATGGATTAACCAATTTGCTCAGTATGCTACAGAATAGGGTCCCTAACTGAAAAAGTGAGAGTGAAATGTGAAAGGAACACCTGCTTTGTTCAATATGCTGAATGTTCCATTATTTAGTACGTGGGACAAAGTAAGAATAAGTTTGTGTCAGGAGAGTTAACTGTGTGCTCTTGGAGTGTTTCATTGAGCGCTGGGTATAGGCCAGAGATAATGTGACCATCCAAATATCGTTGGACTGTAACTCTCATCAGCCCTGCCTGTTAAGCAGAGAGATTTAATTTACTAAAATTGGAAATGCTTAAATGTATTACTGTGCGTTTAATTCTGGAATGTTCCCCAGTAACTCTTGTGTGACATGGGAGGTATCTTATTACATTCTCAATTTTGCTTTGTGTGTGAGTGACTTGATTGTAATGGCTGCATCTCCATGAACACTGAAGAAGAGAAGGTGTTAGATAATGCTCTCTCTAAGCACAATAGAAGAGTGCTGATGTTTCTGTGTGAATGAATGTGACAGAAAGTAGTACAGAAGCTGATGTTCTTCCAAAGAAGCAATAAGGAGAAGTCTGCTGGAAGGAGAAAATGGAAGTCCCTCAGAAGGAACTGCATGGCCTAGCTGGGAAATGTACAGAAGTCTGAGTGCAAGTACTGGAAAGAGAGAAAGACACAGTTTGTTTGAATGTTTAAGGAAGAAGCAGAAATCTTCAACTAAGAAAAACTAAGCTTATGCTTGGATAAACACCTGAATGTAAATACTTTGCATATATTCTTCTTTGGCTATATGTTCTGCAAGTAAAAACTTTTGAATATTTTAACAAGTTTTAATTTCAGGAAAAGAGTCAGTACTGCACATGATCTGGTTTCCTAGCGGCAATTTAGCTACTCTGCCAACACTGCCCAGCCTTGGATCCCCTTTCAACCCTAAGCATTGGCCATGCTGGTTGGAGAGTTCAGCAACTCAGGGACGATGGACGTTGCACTCCAACAACAGCTGGAGGACCACACATTTACAATTCCTGGCATAAGCCTACTCAGTGAGACATTTCAATAGCAGACTTCAACCCTCCCATTACTGAATGGAATTCTCACCACCATTTAACTGCCTTGACATGTACTTAACTGCCTGCACTTTTCCAGAATGATGATTTAGTTTGAGATGAAGGACGCTCAGTGTCAGACCTCTCCATCCATATGGGCTGAATTGAGCTGCTTCAGGTGACAGGGCATGCTAGCTGGCATCCTCCGCCCCCATCTTGCAGCAAAGAAACAGACTAAAAAGACATGGAAGCTATTGGTGCAGAGGTAAATGGCAGCATTTCTGATTCTGTAGCAGGAGTGCCACAGGGAGAAAGAGGGAGGGGAAGAAATACAACGTGGCAGGGAAAGGCACCCTCAAGTCTCTGATAAATGTAAACGCCTCCCGGGGATTCGGTAGATAATTCACTCCCAAACTGATCTAAATGCTTGCCCAGGGCTCCCAATCCTTTCCATTTATTCTTGCTGAATAATCAACTTTAAAAGCTGCTGCAGGCATTTGCTTTGATTTCTGTCACAGATCAAGGGATGATATTTGTGAGCTCTGGAAAAGGGAGGAGGGATAGAAGAGATGTATACCAGGCATTGCTGGGAAATGTGAGCTGCAGCAAAGGAGCCAAAATGGTGCAGCGCTGGTGCTAGATGGGGCCTTCACCTGGATCCTATGGGAGGTTGCTTGGAAATTAACAAATTACCATTGTGGACAGGAGTGCCAACTTGGCCCCACGACCATGGGTGCCCGTGGGTGCCATGCAGTGTGCATGACCCTGGCACTGAAATTTTGTGGGTGCCTGGCCCCTTCATGGGGAATTTTGTGGGTGCTTGGGCCCCCAGGGAGTTGGCATCTATGATTGTGGAGAAGGGCTGTAGAGTAAAATGCCTGTTTCTAAAACTTCTTCAGCCCCAGAGCCCCATCTTCCCTGGCCACTGGCCATGGTGGGTGGAGACAGTACACAAACAACATCTGCAGGTGCAAGGCTGGGGAAGGCTGCTTTAAAAAATAAACATATTGTATTGGAAACAATGGCCTAGCTCAGTTGGTTAGAACGTGGAGTTGATAACGCCAAGGTTGCAGGTTCAATCCCCGTATGGGACAGCTGCATATTTCTGCATTGCAGGGAGTTGGAATATAGATGTGGCATTTGCCCATTCCTTGTGATTATGTTTGTACAGGAGGGATGGAAATGGTTAATGTAGGTTGACCAATGAGAAAGCTCAGAGGCGGAGCCTACCTGGTTTTGAGGCTCAGCCCAGGGGTTTACCATTGGGAGTTAGAGGAGTGAGGGCCAGACAGAGGCAGAAAAAGTCGAGCATAGTGGTTGTGACAGTTAGAAAGAGAGAGACAGGGATAGAACTGAGAGAGAAGAGTGTGACAGTGTGAGATAGTACCACATCTAGTTAAGGGCGCGCATTTGAGAAACCATTCTGAACATATTTAAAACATGTTTGTTCTTCAATAAACACTAATCTTTGTTGCTGATTTTACAACCTGACTGAGACTCAGTATTTCACCAGAAGAAGCCTGGTTGGTGGCAGCGGAAGAATAAAGCAGTGGTGTACAGGTCAATAGTCCGTGAAATGATCAGGGGCTCTGTATGAACGCCACAATATTACTCTCAGGGTCTTTTCCAATTCTACAATTCCATAATTCCCCATTATATAGCAACCTATCCAACATGTTTCAAACATCCCCCATGCTCATACAGGCTAGAAGCCCTCCCCTCCCCCTGGCGGTTCTTTCTACCAAGAGTGGAGGGGAATATCTCCCCACTCACACGTTTCCGTTCCACCTTCCTGGATTGTTGGAAGATGCCAAAGGACTATCTGGATGTATGCTGGACACACCATGTCCCATGTATCAACACTTTGTCCCCAAGGTGAGCCCAAGTTAGGAATTTTAGTTACTCTCTGGTTCTCATTTTTTCGTATTTCCTCAAGTTCAGTTCTCCACTTAAAAAGAAGAAGAAGTAGTCCACATGAAAATTCATTAGCATCTTAGTGGAAATTTCTCTTCACATACATCCTTGTATGCAACTTTGCCCAATATTCACCAATCCACAGAGAAGTATTATCACTTGATTCTCCTGACTGCAGCTGGGGTTGAGAACAGGGGAGAGATAAATGCAGACTGATGAATTCAGAGAAATTCCAATCCAGGCCTGAATTTGCCTAATTCTTGACTTTTTCCCTGCCCATTTCCCTCCTCCTCTCTGGCTCTCCCACTCTCAGTTGCCAGTTGAGTCACACAATGGAACATAAGGTGAAAAAGCAGCATGAGGACTGCTCTCCCTGCTTTTTGTGGGCTACCTGCTGTCGTTCAGGCATGTGGCACAGCTGCCCTTCCTCGAACAGGATGAAGGTGGGACAGAACGGGATTTGCCAGCTCCATCCACGAGAAACAGCAGGATTCTGCAAGCCTTGTGCCAGAACACTTGGCACCTGCCTTGAGGATTCCACGTGGCTTTCTGTTCTCAAGTCAGCAGCGCACACACTTGGCTCAAACCAGTGACACGATTTACCTTCCAATTTTCAAGGAGCTTCTGTCTGCCAAACAAATGAACCCTAACAATACCCTGCAACCTTTTTTCAGTGTGGCACCAGAGCATCCAAGCGGACAAACAATAACAGAAGCTACAACTCAGGAGGAGCAGGTTGGCAGATCTTAACGGGTTGGGATCATTAGTTTTGATATTATTTTTTAATGCGAAAGCATGGAGAAATAAAGCAAACCAACGGCTCCAGGATCTGCGTTAATGAATAAATGAAATGCATCTCGGGAGGATAATTAAGTGCTTAGAACAAAAAAATGTGCCACCTAAATAATAATAGAGAAACCGTAAGAGAGAGGGAGAGAGAGAGAACACAGAAAAACAAATCAAGCAATTGTAATTAAGAGGAAAATATACACGTGTAATTATTTTAAAAGGCATCTGAGGTCCCTACGAAGGAGAAACGGTTTGAGGAACGAGGTTCCTTCTTGCTGGGGAACACCCCAGTACTAATCAAGGAACCATTACAATGATAACTGCAATCAAGGGCTACAGCAACACCTATCAAAACCCCAGCCTTGAAAATGAGGAGCAATTTCATTCAGAGCATGAAACAAGATGGCATGTGGCACCTCTAGCGTATTTAGCAATTTCCAATCAGCCCTTTTGATTTTCTTTTAAGCAAAACACACATCCCAACAAGTGAAGAAAGAGAGAGGCGGTGTTATGTGTGACTATTAAAAGCAAAAAGGAAGAACAATACTTTCTAAATTTTATCTGTACAGAAACGTAATTCATTTACATGCAGAGTTATTTTAAATGGCTCTTACATAAGTTGCAAGCACTTGCTACTTTTGAAATGCTATATTTATAGTGGTACACAGAGCTATATTCAGTTTGGTCTCTTTGCATCAGCTTCGAAATACACACAAACAGGCATGTGCATTAGTTGCAGGTGTTTAACATTGTTAACAAGGTCTATTAAAAATCCCAACTAGTCTGCTGTTATTTAGGGTGCCTGATAATTATATTATTCATGCACCAGAGAATTTTTTCAAAAACACCACCCTTGGAGAATCTCCTTTTATCCAGGCAGACTATGATTGGAGTGGACGAGGGGAAAAGTCTCTCTTGGGTCTGGGCTGAGGATTAACAGTTATTTAATATTAGGAAGGGTAAAAATCCAAAGGAAGCACTGGAGTCAGGGAAGGGAGAGAGACAGAGAATGTGACTTCTGGCTCAAGTGTTCCAAGCATGCAAACAGACAGATAAATCAATGTTGAAAGGCTAGTGTTTGCAAATATGCAGATCATATGGTAACATGTCGGGGAAATGCGGCTCGTCGTAGCTTGCTGTTGAGTGTACTCATTATAAACTTAGGTTTTCCCCCTTTGCAATGTGAGAAACGGCCTTGAGAGGGTTCAAGGTGTAAAATGTGCCTGAATACAGAAGCAGAACTCTGTTGCATTTGGGGAATAAACACTCAGGAGTCAGGCACATCTGCAGAAGGTATGCTCAGCACAAAAGCTGGCATCTAGCAGTTTGAGGAGTGGCTGGTCACAGTAACAGGCATGGTATCTGGGCCTGCCCTCTCTCTTTCTCTCACACACAGAGAACCATTTTTGTGTGTGGCAGCAGTGGTTTCAAATCAATTATATGCCAACTTCCAGCTATGGCAGCTATTCATTTAGGACAGGGGTCCCCAAACTAAGGCCCGCGGGCCAGATAAGGCCTGAGGGACTCGTTTATCCAGCCCGCGGCGACCCCCGCTGCCATCACCCGCTCTGACCGGCACTGCGCTGTGCAGCTGCCCACTTCCGGGTCAGAGGAGCACCAGAAATAGCTTGTGCGCATGCACTAGCGTTATTTGCGCATGCGCAAGCGTCATTTCCGGTGCACATCCGGGTCGGAGGAGGCCCATGCACATGTGCACAAGCTATTTCCAGTGCTCCTCCGACCCGGAAGTGTGCCGGAAATAGCGTGTGTGCACGTGTATGGACATGTGCTCCCCCGCCCTCCGGCCTGCGCTGGAGACACCGGCCTGAGGCACGGTAAGTTTGCTGACCCCTGATTTAGGATGTCTCACTCATGCAAACAATGCATGCAGAACTCAAGACACATTGGCTTCTTGTATCCTGCTGTAGAGCAGCTTCTTGGTGAATCAGCCCAGCAGTATGCAGAACATCCCAAACTCACTGATTTCTGCAGGCCCCAGTCACATTCACACAATGGCCTCTTCCCACACATGTAGTTTGTGGCCAGAACTTGAGTCAACAAATATTGACTCAAAAACCCTAGCTGCCACATATAGAGAGAATCATGAGAATGGGCCTCATTTGGTTCATTTTATGAACAGTGCTATTTAATTAAAAAGGTACTGACTTGCAATTTCCCCGTTGATTAGGGACAATAATCTTAGGACTCTTGGCTGCCAACAACAGGATGAAGCATACCACTTATAAGAAGGGGCATGTGTCAATTCCCAACTTGCTGATTGTCAGAAACACCAACTGCAAATTTGCTCTGATGCATGATATAGTGTCAGTTGGGGTGATGCAAGTTATCTGTTTCTGTACTGCAAGTTTATATTCCATCTCATATGTCATACCTGGGACAGGATTGTAGCAGGCCCTCACAGTATCTTTGGGTTAGAAGTTGGACTAATGCAGGCATAGGCAAACTCAGCCCCTTCAGATGTTTTGGACTACAATTCCCATCATTCCCATCATCCCTGACCACTGGTCCTGTTAGCTAAGGATCATGGGAGTTGTAGTCCCAAAACAACTGGAGGGCCGAATTTGCCTATGCCTGGACTAATGCTTCATAGGCAGTGCCCACTTTTCCAGTAGGTCCTTCTGAAGGGGGAAGAGCATGACAGAAGATTATGCAAACACTAACTTCTATAAATCCACCATCTGCATAATTCAAGATAGAAGAAAATGAAGTTGACTTCATTCAAGACAGAGTTAACTTATATTATTCAACACCACAAGATGTGGCATTGGCCATTACCTTAGATAGCTCTCCTGACATGTTGTACCCTTGATCAATACAATGAAAACCTCTCAGACAACCTCTCAGACAGAATGCAACAAATCCCTATATTTCTTGCACTTAAGAGACAGAGACCGCAGCTATGAGCTGTGACAGACCCACATTTACTCTATGAATCAGGCACAGAGGAGGATGTGTAATACAACACCTACATATTTTGTTCCCATCTATAATGGCATGCAGAAGAAGCAAAGGAGCCGAATGCAACATGCTGGATAGAATAATCCAGGCGACAAATCAGACACTTGATTCTCCATATTTTGTTTCCCTGACATACTCTTATTTCACTCTCTTTTGTTCCTAGTCCCGCCCTTGACTGTGATGAATGTCCATCTTCTAAACAACTCATCATAAAAATGAAAAACTGTCTTCTATGCCGAGTGTACATGCCCAGATATCATTCATTTCATGTTGTGTTTCCTCCACAGCTGTAAAACTCATAGTATTTTTAATACTGCAATACAGCTCACATGAATCACAAGGTGATCCGAGAATCCCCTTGTTTTGCTGATTCACAAGGTTTTCTTTGCCTTTGTTATTCAGTGGTACCTCGGGTTAAGTACTTAATTCGTTCCGGAGGTCCGTTCTTAACCTGAAACTGCTCTTAACCTGAAGCACCACTTTAGCTAATGGGGCCTCCCGCTGCCACCGCGCCGCCAGAGCACAATTTCTGTCTCATCCTGAAGCAAAGTTCTTAACCTGAGTTACTATTTCTGGGTTAGTGGAGTCTGTAACCTGAAGCGTATGTAACCTGAAGTGTATGTAACCCGAGGTACCACTGTAGTTAAAATAACAATAAATGGTTCTGAAAAATAGATGGCGAATGAAAGGAACATAACTGTTATTTTCCATTAATTTAAATAGTTTTAAAGAAATTAATTTTGTTATTCCTTACTCAAGGAAGAAATTCCTACTCTGTATTAACAGCCCCCCTCTACTCAACGTGAATTGAATATATTTCAAAAGGGTAGCTGTGTTAATATCTCTTGGAGCAAACCCAATGGAGTACTCCAGCACTTTAAAAATTGGACAAATTCATTGATCAGAAGCCAAAGAATTACTTTACATGTGCCCAAGGAGATGGCAAGCTGGCGGGATTTTTGAATTGTATGTGGAGGAAGTGGAGCAATGTTTAAGTGTGCCTAAAAAACTTAGAGGGGTTCTTTATAGCTTTGTAGGCTTGCAGCTGCAATTTTTTTTTTCCAGACTGTTCTAGTCTCAGGGGATATGTGTGTATGTGAGAGAGGGAGAGAGGAAGCAGAAATGTTTGCTACCACTTTTTTGTGATGGCTGCCATTCCATTTCCATCTAGGAAATTTAAAAGTGCAGCCACCAGCTCAAAAAGGTTTTAAAGAACTCCAGTAAATTTCCCCTGCGATGATATTCCCCCAACACCCCAAAAGATGAAAAAAGAGAGACATTTTTACTCCTTAGAATACAGTTTAAGATGAAGACCTGCAGCATAAGGCCAAAGGTCTATCTAGTCCAGCAGCCTCTTTTCACAGTGGCCATCCAGAAACCTATGGGAAGCTCACAAACAGGACCTAAGTGCAACAGCAGCCTCTTCTCCTGGGGTTTCCAGCAACATATTCTGAAGCTTGCTGCTACCAACAGTGAAGATAGGTGTGCATCAGACTTAGTAGCCTTCTTTGATATTGAACTCTACACGCACACAACATTTGTGCTGGCCTTGTATCCCATGATAAGTTCTGCCCAGTGATATCACAAATGTAGTGGGAGAGGGGGCAGTCTAGCCAAAGCAGCTTAACTTACTCTTCAAGTGGAAAAGTCTCCCAGAGTAGCTTGCAAATGGCCAATGGAAACAATATCAGAGTGCCAGGGGGATTGCTGTTCAAGAAGCACGTACCTCAGCACTTTCTGGGGAATGCAAGACATATTGGGCATTTGCTTGGATTGCAGCGCTAGCTTTTGTGTGCTAGCATGAACATATGTATATGTGTTTCTCTGTGTGTGTGCACACACATCTACTTTATGCAACTATCTGGTAGAGCGCATTCTAGTTCAATAAACTATATCTGAAAACATTTTGTTTGTCTTTAAGATTCCATAGGACTCAATTCTAGTACTGCATGCAGGGATTTTTATAATATATATTTTTATTAGCAACAGCATAAATCAATACAAACAACAAATACAGTGGCACCTCGGGTTAAGTACTTAATTCGTTCCGGAGGTCCGTTCTTAACCTGAAACTGTTCTTAACCTGAAGCACCACTTTAGCTAATGGGGCCTCCCGCTGCCGCCACGCCGCCAGAGCACAATTTCTGTTCTCATCCTGAAGCACTATTTCTGGGTTAGCGGAGTCTGTAACCTGAAGCGTATGTAACCTGAAGCGTATGTAACCTGAGGTACCACTGTAATGGGTATTCATCATCAGGTAAAAAGCAAAATTCAGGCATGACATGTATAAGACAGAAAGCATATTAAGACAGAAAGCATATTAAAGCATATTAAGTTAAATAACCAAGCCCAAAAGATGTATGCATTACAGGGGATTTAGGTTCCCCCGGGGTGAGGGTTAATAAAGGAAATAAATATAAACCAATCAGCATCAAAAGTATTTTTTTTGTCACCACTTTCTTTTTTGTGGCAAGGCAAGGCAAGGTTAAAGAGAACATGAGCAACGATAAAGGGTTTGAAATGAATAATGTACCGTTCAAGGTTGAAAGCATGGCAAGACTAGACAAATGGGCAAAGGCATGCCAGCAAATGTTAAATCTCCTGGAGGTGGACGGGAAAAGGAAAAGGAACTTTTGTCAGTGCCATTCAAAGATGCTTAAGAAGCTGAGTAATCAGTTTTTGGAGATCAGATTTAGGATTGGAGGGAACTCCTCCAAGCTGTAAGAAAGTTTAGACAATGAAACAAATGCACCAAACATGGATGGAGTCTCCCCGCCCCCTGAAGGTGTTTAAAAGAGGAAACTAAAGGTCCGTATAGTTAAAGTTATGGTTTTCCCAGTAGTGATGTATGGAAGTGAGAGCTGGACCATAAAAAAGGCTGACTGCCAAAGAATTGATGCTTTTGAATTATGGTGCTGGAGAAGACTCTTGAGAGTCCCATGAACTGCAAGAAGATCAAACCTATCCATTCTTAAGGAAATCAGCCCTGAGTGCTCACTGGAAGGACAGATCCTGAAGCTGAGGCTCCAATACTTTGGCCACCTCATGAGAAGAGAAGACTCCCTGGAAAAGACCCTGATGTTGGGAAAGATGGAGGGCACAAGGAGAAGGGGATGACAGAGGATGAGATGGTTGGACAGTGTTCTCGAAGCTACCAGCATGAGTCTGACCAAACTGCGGGAGGCAGTGGAAGACAGGAGTGCCTGGAGTGCTCTAGTCCATGGGGTCACGAAGAGTCGGACATGACTAAACGACTAAACAACAACATATGAGCATGGAAAAGGGATTTTACCTGAAGGAGAGCCTATGAGATGACTCTCAAGGGTGGGACTTAAACATTCTTACATTTAGCCCTACAAAAAAGTGAAACAGGAGCTGCAGAAAAAAGAGGGCTTATACAATGGATTGTGCCCCCTATTCCTATCATCACTCTGGTTAAGTAAATCTCTCTCATACTTTTAACTCTGGAAGTTAGTGGAGGCTGATCCATTAGGGAGAATGGGGCACCGCTCCATCAAGCTCAGTCCACCCTAAGCTGGGTCCCATTTATCTACCTCCATCCTTATCAACAATTTAGAGGGAGGGCACTGGCTCTCAGCTTCCTCCTCATTAGTGACAGATTCAAACTCGTAGAACTCATTAGGGAGGAAGCTGGAATTAGTTGGCTTGGCCTATCGGTGTCTCTGGCTCCACCTACTGTTGGCCTCCCAGCCTCCCACCCTACTGATCCAATGAGCACCACCTGCCACTGCTAGAGAGGAATTTTACAAAGAAAGCAAGGAAGGAAACCTGCTTCTGAATACTAGTAACATGTTTCCTGAAAACACATGTTTTCTTAAAAAAAATTTTTTTGTATCTACAGCATCAGATTTCCAGGCAATGAAAGTGATAAAAACAAAGAAAAGCTGCTGCACCCCGAAGTGATAGCATGGGGGAAAAATATTACTGGATGTTACAGCTTTCAGAAAAGACTGTGCTGCAAGGGATATCAATTTAAAAGAGTCTCACCAAAAAGCAATTGAGCATATCACTATAACAGGCAGTCAAGGAGGAATTCTGATACAGCCATTTCCCCTCTTTCTAGAAGCTTGCTTCTGTAATACTCTTTTCTTCTCCTTTCATCAGCCTTTAAGGAGTGTGGCTGAACCATGCTCACCAACATTCCAGCTCCTTATCTTATGGGTCTATTGATCCATAAAATGACAAGAGACCTCTGTATGGTTCTCAGAATCTTCGAGACATTATATTTTGTTATTGAGATTTCATGTGTGCTTCTTGAAACTTTGCTCTACACAGAATTGCTCTATTGATCTGAGGGTAATGAGACAAGAACTTTCAAAACGGGCAGCTTTTCTGTAACATTGAGAATACTTAGTGCCCTGCACTCATTACAGGTGCATAGAGGCTTCCATCATGCCATCTGCCAACAAATCAAAGCAAGGCTCCCACTTTGGATTTGGAATGCTTCTGGGCTGTCACTGTTTTCAGGTGGGACTCAATTACATACCAGCAAATTTATATAATACAAAAAAACCCAACCAAGTATAGAAGTAAAACAAAACAGCAAAACACTTCAGATTGGGCAAGCAAAATTGATTTACTTGTGCTACTATCTCCCACTCCCTTTCCTCCAAAAGTGTGGGACGGGACTTCCTAGATGCAGTGTCAGCTAACCTCCCTGCAAACAGACCAGGATGAATGCACAATAAACTTCTGACATTGTCTAACCTCCCTGCAAACTTTGAACAGCCAGGATGCTATCAACAAAACAGGAAGCAACCTCCATCCTCAGGGCTATCTGCCAAGTTTATATTTCAATGTAGACATGTACCCAGCTATTAGCAGCATTGCAAATCTAGTGACTCCAACCATTATTTTGTGCCATGTGAATGCAGTTTCTCCAGTTCCACTAGAAGGCACCTGAAGCTCACACTAACACCAGACTTACTAGCCCTGTCCATGTGGGCCGAACAAAAGATATTGAATGCATTGGGAGGCAGGAATGAATATACAGCAGGAGGCACCACCACCGACCTCCCTGTGTTTATGGGCTCTTCTATACAGCATCAACATGTGTGTGGTCTGGAGGCACATGAGGCCACCGCCTTGCCATAGCTAAGCAGATCTAGGTCTGGTCAGTACCTGAGCACCCAGGAATCACATTGTATGTCCACTAGCAAATTGCATGGTGGGATTCTGCCACTCGCACCACCTCTGTGTGCATGTGTGTGTGTGTGTGTGTGTGTGTGTGTGTGTGCATGCTCTCTCACTCACTCACTCACTCACCCACACCCACACCCACCCACCCACCCACTCATACACCTGCCATGTACTTCCATATGGCGTACGCAGCCTAAGCCTTCCCTCATTATGGTCAGAGGTTTCCTCTGCAATGGGTTATTACCATCTGGATCACCAGAATGCAATATTAAACAGAAACAAAAGACAGAAGGTTTTGCCACTTCTTCATAGAAAACCTTGCTTCACATTGTTCTAAGTGGAAACAAGTCAACCATGGAATACAGAACAGACAAATGCCCTCATTTGTGTAATTATAATAGCTCATTGTATCAGAGATCATCGTAGCGACCATCCTAACTTCTCAAATCAAACCACAAAAATTCAGTTCCACATAACTATTTTTCCTTCTGTTATTCCTGTTTCTAGGGTGTATTAAGGAGAAAGAACATTTCCCCCTTTGTATACACTCTTCTAATATATATTTTTAGGCTAATAAAAATGCACTGCAGAGTTACTTAAATACGCAATTATCCAATTTATCCAGATCATAATGATGGTACCAGTACAAAAGTTGAACAATGTTATATACCCCTATGAAAAAACACACGCCATTGCACGGTACTCACCATAAGAATGGTCATCCAGGGATTCAGTTTTTCTTCAGGAACAATCCTGCTTGTAACAGGAACCCCGTTGGTTCTGCACACACAACTGCTTGCTGTGTGGAGACTTGGTTGAATAAAAGGAGGAAACGGTAGTGGTTTGTTGGCGATGGCCACACAAGAGCCGGCTGAATAGACTCTTCGGTCTGAAGAAGAAATGAAAAACACAGGTTAGAAAACTTCATCTTCGTAGCACAGAGTTGGTCTGCCAACAGGCCTAGCTCCCCATAGAGCAAATCCTTGCCACCTTCCATTTTGTGTACATGACTGAAGGTGGGTAAAAAGGGATATGAAGCAGGCCACCAGTGTTGAAAGATGGCGGCAGTAATCTCAGGATACAATAATGGCTTAGGGTGTGTGGCTCATCCCACACCACAAACCCAGAGAGCTCACAATGTGGACGAAGGGCAGTTTTTCTATGCATTTAAAGGCCAGTTTACCCAGTAACAAGATTAGAAAGGGCACACTGTACCTAAAGAAAATGGAAATGAAAGCAAACTGCTGGACTTAATCTGCCATGAGCCCTGAAGATAAAATGCCACAAACAGGGAAGAAGAAGAAGAAGAAGAAGAAGAAGAAGAAGAAGAAGAAGAAGAAGAAGAGGAGTTTGGATTTGATATCTTGCTTTATCACTACCCGAAGGAGTCTCAAAGCGGCTAACATTCTCCTTTCCCTTCCTCCCCCACAACAAACACTCTGTGAGGTGAGTGGGGCTGAGAGACTTCAGAGAAGTATGACTGGCCCAAGGTCACCCAGCAGCTGCATGTGGAGGAGTGGGGAATGGAAACCGGTTCACCAGATTACGAGTCTACCGCTCTTAACCACACCACACTGGAAGAGATAAGACTGTGCTGTTGAGCAGTTAGCAATTCTTCTAGCTACATGTTTGATAACTTTCAAGGCCAATATGCACCACCACCTTTGAGCCTATATTCCATCTGTGGTGACTTTCTGTCAGACTGGGCAGATAGCAAAGCAATTGTCTGAGTGCTCCACTGGGAGCCCAGGTGTTGATTAAGTGCTTCACCACCCATGAGTATGAGTTTGTACTGATGTGTTAAATTGGCACATGGATCCTTTGTGGCATGTTTAGGAAATGGCTATGCCAAAAATGGAAAACAGGTCTCAAAAAGTTGTCAAGAGAATCAGCTCTGAAAGTTGCTGGTGATAAGAAACTAACTGCAAATTACATGCAGACCTATGTGCAGTTTTTGGAGAAAGATTAGGAGCAAAGAAGTGGTTGTAGAGATGCTTAACCCTTTCCACATCTACCAGTCCATTACAAATCATGTCCCAACATCACCCCCCCCCCCGGAATTCCAAACACATATTTCGCTCTCCAAACCTAGTGTTATGAGTTTGGGGGTGGTAAGCTTTATGCCTGAGTCCACTTCAACTTTCTTGATCCAGCACAGATTCAATTCCTGGAAGTAAGGGCTATTTAGGTAACAAAGGAAGTAGCTCTGTGCCAGACTGAAAATGGGTGGGCTACCCTCCCTCAACTTGCTGGTAGGGAGAAAGACAGAGGTCAGAGTTGAGTTATGTGAGTTAGAATGTAGAAGCAAGGCTGCAGGCTGGGTGGTTGGGAGACAGAACCATGCCTGAAATACAAGGCTGTGGATATGGGAGAAGGAAGACCCTCTAGGGGTGTTAATGCTTCTCCATTGTGAGCTTGGATTGTATATATGTGCAAATAAACCATGTATTATACAGACTCCACAGTCCCCACTGCTTCTCATTCTAAAGGAAACACAAACCCTAGGTAAGCAACTGGAACCCCTGGAATCTCACACCGCTCAGAGATTGGGGTAGCATGCAACAATATGTTTGGCACTTCATAGGGCAAAAGCAGATAGGGGAATCAATTTAGAGCAGATCTCTGATATGGAAGAAGAATTAGGCACTACCCCCCTTGCCCCTTTCTCCGCTCAAAATCTGCCTTTTCTCGTTTTTCTTATGTTTTTGCAGTACTCATCTCCGTGCAATGTATAGTTCTGCTCTAAATGTGGAGATACACAATACATTTTTTAAAAGAGGGATGTAGCAAGATAGATGCATCAGTGCCCATAGGGTAAATACATCTATTTTGTTTCACTCTAATCTCTGGTCAAGGATGATTTTGAAGCACTGGCAAAGTACCTGGAACCTGTGAGCAAAAGATAATAGTGGGATGAATGTACACACCATGAGCAATGATGCCGTCAACTCTGCAGAAAAACTATCAAGTCTGCAGTCAAATCAATTGAAATAGTGGTGGGCTATTTACAAGCACAGGTTTTTTTCCTGTTCTATTGAAGAATTCTTGATGGGTTTACACACACCCACACCCCCCCACATCCCCATATCCTTCAGTGTTGTGGACCCACTTCTATCGAATGCCCTCTTAACTGAGACTGGACAACTTTCCTTCCTGTGGAACTCTAGGAACTTAACAAAGACTTTTCTTCCTCAGCAGGTGTTTTAAGGGAGCTATCCTGTTTTTGTGATTAATTGTATTTGGTTTTAGCCATTGTATGTTGGGGGGATAAATTTTTATTGACTTTAGCCATTGTGAGCTTTTAAAAAAAGAATTATGTACATGGCTTAGAAATTCCTGGCAATTTAGTAGTATATAAATAGTTCAAATAAATAAAATAATCAAGGCAAGGGAGGCATAGGAAGCTGGCTTAAACCAACTGGAACTTTTGTCCATCTAACTCAGTACTGACTACACTGACTGGTAGTAGCTCTCCACGATTTTGGACAAGGGTGTCTGCAAGATCTTTGGCAGATCTTTGAACCCAGCACTCTTTTGCAAACCATGAATATGATCTGCCATGGAGTTACAGTTCTTCCCTTCATAACTCCCTTCCCCATGTTTTCCGTCTTACTTCACATCCACCCCATACACTTAAAGCAACCTGGGAACTTTGGCACCGTGTGGGGTGTTCTAACAGCTCTCACCACCTTTAAACAACAGTTCCCTTAATTCATTGGGGGTACACCATGACTGGTATATGTAATAAATTCTGCTCATATTGATCCAGAGCAGATTCCAACATATAGTTAGCAGAGTAAAAACATAAACATGTTGCAGGAATACCAAAAATAGACCACTCTGGAATCACATAGCCGGACCTCCTCAGCACTCTGCTCTGCCTCAGGAACCCATCGGTGCAGCAAAAAAATTCTGAGTGTATAACCTGTCATGAATTTTGCTGCATAAGAGTACTTTAAATGTATGGTGTGGGTGGGATATTAGTGCAAAATACCCACCACAAGTTCTCACTGTATCCATTTGCTTAAACTTATCTGGCCACCTCCAAGTTAGGCTTGGACAAATTTGACCTCCTCTGCAGGAGTGGATGTTGAGGGATGAGGGGAGAAATTAGATGCAGTTCACATTTAAAAGCAAAATGATAAAATATAAGTTCTGAAACAGCCATCCATTGAAATTTGCACTTCTTCAAATACTGCAGTGCAGTTCTATAGACAAGTAATGTGTACAAAAATACATACACTAGGGTATAATGTGCATAAAAATGCATGTATTGGTGAAAATAGCATACAAAAAGGCATTAAATTATGGAAAACAGATTTGCAAAGATGTGTATATTAGGCAAAATGGCATATGAAGATGTGAATATTAAGAGAATTTTGCAGCAAAATGCAAAATTTCCATGGGGATTTTTTAAAAATCACAAACTAATGTTGCAGAATGGGGGTGGGATGAGAAACTGTGTTAAATAAAAATTAACAGATTCACCCATGCCTGTACTGGGCTGAAGACTGGCTACGGGCTACTGTTCCTGAGAATAACGTTGCAGCCATAAGAAGATTCTGTTGCACATTCAGGAAGAGGCAAAAAGCTGGTTGCTTTCTGAGCCAGCTCCTGCACAGGGAAAGGGGGGGAAAGCAGGGAAAACCTCCTGGGCATGGTTTTATTTGCTTTTAATCATCACGTGCTTGAGTGTGCAGCTTTAGACCCGCTATCACTCTCTGACAGTGAATGGAATAAAGCCTGCACAGTTTATGTAAGTAATTTGTAAAGCAAGAGACAGCTGGATTAGAAAGGTGAAGGCAAAGAAGCAGATGAAAAGAGAATTGTTTGTGATGGATGGGAAAGCACAAACTGCAGCCCTTTCTTCTTCCTGGAAGGAGGGAGAAGAGCTCCCCTATAGAGATAATTCAAGGATGGCCGAGATCAAATGCGAGTAAAGTCAACTAAGGGGAAAGGCGGCAAAGGAAAGAGCCAGGCAGGGCTTGACAAGGCAGCACGTCAAGGGCACAACTTGGAGGAAGTGAAAGCACCAAGAAGAAAAGGAGCTGATTAGCAGTGCATACATACTCCTCCGCAAAAAAAGTGAGAGCAAGAAAGGGGAACTGTAGCCATCAGTCCTGTAGGAAATCTTGCCTTATCACCTG